TGCTGACCTTAAGGTTCACAGCCCGATTTGTAACCACCACGCTACCAGAGCGCCTTACAAGTAGGAAGTATAAAATGCAATTTAGAAAATTATAAGAGCTACTAAAATAAACATTAAAACATTATGGTTTATTTATCAGGTGATGGTATGCCGTGGAGTCGATTCCGACTCATAGTGACCCTGCACAGGGTTTCTGAGGCTGTAAATCTTTATGGCAACAGAAAGCCCCATCTTTATCCCATGAAACAGCTGGTAGTTTCAAACTGTTGACCTTGAAGTTAGCATCCCAAATCGTAACCACTACACTATCAGAGCTCCTTTTACTTATTTAGCGAATACATAAATATAAAAAAAGACCGTTTGTTTAGCAATGTCATATATTCAAGAACTAAATGTTCAAATAATTATTTTAATGAGTAAAGTCATATGATATGCGCATATATGCATGTATGTGTAGGTATATCCTTAAGAAAAAAATGAGAGAAAATGCAGTATCAGACATAGAATGTCAACAAAACAAAACTGATTTAGAAGACTACAGGAAGCTGAAATTGAAACGGTGGTTTACAAACAAAAACAAGCAGACCTGCTACTTTGACATATCACTGGAAGCAGGACTCCATGCTTCATGAAGTACCAGGCCAATGAGAGTAAGTGAGACCTGCAGTGAGAGCGACTGGTCCTCTAGCTGCAATGATAAATCCCAACATGCCTGTAGTCTGGAAGATGGCGCTGGACCAAGACACGTCTCCATTGGTTGTACATAAGGTCTCCATGAGTTGGAGTCGACTTGAGGGCATCTATCTATCTATCTATCTATGTCTACCAAAAGAAGAGCATTTTAATAGCACTTCCAGAATGATGAATATTCTTCCTTAATGCTACACTAAAAATCAATGAAGATTTCCTAAAAGTTAGTATTGTTGTTGTTGTTATGTGCCATGGAGTCAGTTCCAACTCATAGCGCCCCTATACAGGGTTTCCGAGGCTGTAAATCTTTACAGGAGCAAAATGCCTCATCTTTCTCCCGCGGAACAGCTGGTAGTTTCGAACTGCTGACCCTGAGTTTCGCAGCCCGGTTTGTGTCCACTATGTTACCAGAGCTCTTTAAAAGTTACTATTATTATGCTTAAATCCATAAATCTATTTGGTGTTATTATGCTTAAAACCATAGATCTATTTTGCAACTTGAGGATATCTTTTATCTGGCTTCAGAAAGTCCATGGAAACATTCGTTGTCTTTTCATACGAAACTTTTTTACAGCACCCTCATACATTCTTTTATCACATCATGCAATGGTCACCTGGAAAATACTGCTTAACTGAAAGATGCAGATGTTCCAAATGTTGACACTGCTTATTACCCAATATCAAAACACCATGTTCATTCATATCTCTATGCATCTATTAAAAAAAGTCTCATGGGAAGTTGTCAGGCTCACAGTGGTGCATATAAGCTGTTAGAGACTGAACTGTGTCGTCCCAACACATATGTTAAAATACTAACATCAAGGAGCTCTGGTAGCATAATGGTTACGAATTGGGCTGCGAACCTCAAGGTCAGCAGTTCAAAATTACCAGCTGTTCCACGGGAGAAAGATGAGGCTCTCTGCTCCAGTAAAGATTTACAGCCTCAGAAACCCGTTACAGGGTTGCTAAGAATTGGAACCGACTCCACGGCACATAACAACAACATCTGTGAATGCAATCCTATTTGGGAATAGGATTTTCTTTGTATGGAGTCCTGGTGTGGCGCTGTGGGTTAATGATCCAGACTGCAAAGCCATTTATCTACAATGTCGGCGGTTCAAGTTCACCAGCTGCTCCTCCGAAACCCTATACAGGGTCACTGTGGGTTGGAGTCAACTCGACAACACTTCACAACAACACAACAACTACATCTCATCAATGTAGTATCGGCATGCCCTAAGCCTAATCACTTTTGTGTTACAGACACAGAAAGGAGCACCAATGGGAGGAGGACAGAGCCACTGACAACCACCAAGGAATGAATGAATTTAAGGGATACAGAAGTTAAGATAAGATCTCCCCCCAGAGCCAACAGAGAGCCTTCCCCCAGAGCCAGTGCCCTAAATTTGGACTTCTAATCTCTTCAACTGTGAGAAAATAAACTCATTGTCCTTAAAAGCCACCCACTCGTGGGTATTCATTATATCAGCACTAGAAAACTAAGACAAATGCTTTCTAAAATTCTAATTTCATTCAGAAAAGTCAACTGGTATCATTAGCAAGAATTTATTTTTTCTAGAAGTACCAGGTTTACAACACAGTTCATTTTTGTGAAAATACCTGTCAAATTCCTAAATCTAAATAGCCAAGATTTGCCTGTCATTCTTTCAAGTAAAATCTTGTTAATGGGAAAAATAAATAAATAAGAGTGGCTAGTTCAACAAGTAGCTCAAACAATCAAGTGAGATTTTGATAACAACAAATGCCACACTTCTGCAGGACTTTATGCATATTTTAAACTTTTATTTCATTACAAGCTAAGACAATAAAATATATAATAATTGCTTTATTAAAGGTATTAAGTGAAACTGTTATTACTATTACTAATATTTTTACTGTAAATGCATAGCAGCGAAAAACATTATAGCTTGGTGCCATGCCTTGAATCAGAGTAAGATGCCCAAAAATCTTTTCAGCAACCATGACCACCAGGAGAGCAAAGAACTAATTAACGTGGTGAAAAGGCAAATAATGTCCTAAAGTTATTACAAAAATGGGCCTGACCTCATGAACCTGCTGGAAAGGGATCAGGGACCCAACAGGGACTTCAGACCAACAGTGAAAACCTTGTTGTTACTGTTAAGTGCCATCAAGTCACTTCTGACTCGAGGCAACCCTGTACAGGGTTTCTAAGGAACAACTGGTGAGCCTGAACTGCCAATCTTGTGGTTCAAACCAACCTTGCAACCTAGCGCATTAGCCCGCAGAGCCACATCTTAGAACTATATTTATAGCCTTTCTAATAACGTCTAAAACTGAAAAACAGAAGAGGTAAGATAAGCATGTTATTTTAAAACAGAAGAACAATACCAGAAAAATGCAACCAAATCAAAAGTAGTTTTCCTTCAAGAGTTACCTGGGGATTTTCCCAAATAAGCCTTATTTCATTATCTGACTTTTTAGAGGCATCATCATTTTGAGAAAAGTTGAAAACAAAAAAAAAAAATCTAAATGCATTCCATGAGCAAACAAATAATTCACTCCTTGTCCACAGAGTTGCCTCCAAAATATTTTGGCCTTGATCCTACATCCAAACTCATAGTGGTCATGAAAAAATTAAATATTTAGAGACAAAATAATAAAAAACAAAAGGCTTAGAAAGTATAGACATAAAAAGCAGACAGTAACACCCCCAAAACTTTGCAAAGTAAAATAAAAAACTCCTTTAGTCAACTATATCTAAGCAGTTTCTTAACTTTGGTACATCCATACACAGAGACAACATTTATGCCAATTGCATGTTATGTAAGACACAGAGAAAGATACACAACAGATATAATGCACAAGACAGAAAGATTATACAACAGGTATTTTTTTTGTTTATTTATTTTTTTCAAATGTTTTATTGTGAATTATGTGATAGTTTACACGGGAAACATTAGCTCTACAATCACACTTCCTTATGTCGTTTCACTAACAGTTTTTATAATATTATAATAACATTCTCCTAAGTAGAGTTCACAACAGAACATGGAGAAAAATCCTACCTGGAAAGGGGAATTCTGTGCCAAAGGAGATTTCTCCGTATTCTTTAAATTCCGCTGCTGAGCAATGAAACAAATCAAATGGTTTGTTTCAGGAGAGCCCCGAACACCAATTGTAGAACGTCTTCTAGATTTTTTAAGATAGGATGATGGCTTTGCTGTAATGAAAGATCTTTTAAATTAGTACAGTCAGCATTAACCATGTCCTGATTACCTATAATGTACCAAACTGATAGAGAAAACATGAAAAAAATTGTGAAACAGAAATCTAAGTAGAGAATGACTACCAAAATTGCTCATATAGTATCTATTAGATAGGGGCTTTTGTACTGTCCAATTATTTATTCCACACTCTGTACATGGAGGGCATTCATTAAACTGTTGAATGCATGAACAAATCTAAATGAATGGGTTTTATTTCGGCTCCACGTTTCCTTCATATGGTGGTGGTGGCTATGTACCATGGAGTCAGTTCCGACTCATAGCGACCCTGTATAGGGTTTTCCGAGGCTGTAAATCTTTACGGAAGCAGAACGCCTCATCTTTCTCCTGCGGCACGGCTGGCAGTTTTGAACTGGTGAACTTGAGGTTCGCAGCCTGATTCATAACCACTACGTTACCAGAGCATAGAGGTAGGCAATGGCCTACTTTGACTAAGAATTCTTTTCCCGAGTTAGTTTTATTCCCAAGGGACAGTGGTGATTCAGTGGAAGACTTTTTTCCTGGTTTGGGTGTTTCTATCATGTTGCAGATTTCAACGGAACTTCCAGACTATTACTCACTGATAAGAGTGGGAAGAAAGCCTTGCTATCTGCCTCTGAAAATCAGAGAAGGAAAACTCTATGGGTAGCCATGATCGGACTTGCAATGGATCATGAAGACAATGTAGGATGGGCCAGCCTTTCATTTGGTTGTGGAGTCACCATGAGTTGGGGTGACTTGACAGTGGCTAACAACACTTCCAAGGACCAAAATGGGCAGGCTCTCCACCTAGGGTGCATGTACTCTTTCAAGTTCTTGGTATTTCAAGACAATTTTGCTTCTTAGTGTATCTATAACATAATGACAAGTCTAAATTCATTAGGGATAAGAATTAGGATCAACACAAAGCTAGTTTCTATGAGGAAGAGGTCAAGTCAACCTCCACCTTCCCACTGCTCCATAGTTTCTGACATCAGCCACTCTCCCACCACTACAGCACTATTTCTGTGATGGGATTGACTATAAGTAGCAACAGGAACACAGAACTCAGAGCATACTCATAGCTTAGTGGTTTCTTAGGAAAGTAACAGCTACAAAGCAGGATCATTTAGGAGAACAGGAACAACTTGGGGGCAGCATCAGGAAACACACAGGCAAGGTCTGGAAGAGTGCTCAATGTTCAGTGCAGGACAGTTTCTGACAAGAACAGTTCTCAGAGCAAAATGGTTTGTGCATCAATTCAGTCTCTGCAGGCTACTGGTGGGCCATTTCTCTGCCACAGTTGCCTTCTTGGGTAGGTGGCTGTCTTCTCTGACAGGCAGGCCTCTCCATTGCCAGGCCATTGCATCTCTCTACCCTTTCTCTGCAGGCTGCTTCAGCTCTACACACTGCTGTCAGCCACTAACTGACCCAGCTCATAGTGAGCAAGGAGTCCTGGTGTGGCACTGTGGGTTAATGCGCCAGAACTGCAAAGTTGGCAGTTCAAGCTCACCAGCTGCTCCTTGGAAACCCTATACAGAGTCGCGTTGTAAGTCAGAATCCACTCAACAGCACTAACAACATAGCCAGCTAGGCAACTCTCCACCCTTAACTGTCTCTGCTGTAGCTAGTGTAGCCGTTTATACTAAACTGCAGAGATCTGTTGTTGTTGTTTTTTAAAGTATAATTGGACAGAGTAGAAGATGGCGGATTGGGTGGAAGTGCAGTAAAGGAGCTCCACCAACAACA